GCATTCAGCCTCCCCAAGATCCTGTCCACGTCCTCGGGAGCCACAGAGTCAAACTCCTCCCATACAACAGTCTCAAGACCTGCTCCCGTATCCTCCCCCGGGGCCACCCAGTCAGAGTCAAGGCCTTCTCGGATCCGAGCGACTTTGTCATGCAGATATTGCGCAAAGTCCTCGGCCCTCCCCTCCAGGGGACCCCCCCCTCCCTCAATTGAAGGAGAGAGCGGGTAACCCTGAAGAGGGAGGCCGGGCGGTTATCTGATGACGCAATGAGGGTGGAGTAGTAATTAGACCTCCTTTCTTCCCCCCTTTCCTTTTCTATGTTTTACAGGTGGATCTGTCACTCTATTAGGGGAGCTCTATGTCAGAACCCCTCAAATGGATTTGATTACAGTTTACTGCTTGTGCCTATGTATTCATTTTCGGGGCCTGCCACTCTGTTGGGAGGGGTCTTGTTCGTTGGGGAATGTATTTGCCTTACTCTCCTTTGCCCTCCCTCCATGTGAAAGGAATGTGACCTGAAAACATCTGTCTTATCTCCAGACAACGGAGCCTGGGACTATTGGGAAACAAAACTGAGAGAGATCTTGAGAAGGGTGCTAAATCACTAGGTTCTCAAAACAACTTAGTATCTATGGATTGGCTGGATTTCAAATGGACAGTTGGACATTGGTGGGAGGAGACCTGAATGGGCATTTTGATGTAACCTTTCGCACGTGAAATCTTCAGACCTTGCTTTGCCTTCCTGCTATCACTAACTCTCAATAAAAGTTCCTTTTGAAACAATGCCTGTTTCAAGAGTTCTGCTTCCCTGGGAGATCTAATTGAGGCAGGTCCTTTTTTTACAGAAATCTTGCTGATTGATAGGGGATCAAATACGTATTTCACTCATTAAAATGCAAATCAATTTATAACTTTTTTGAAATGCATTTTTCTGGATTTTTTTTTGTTATTCTGTCTCTCACTGTTAAAATAAACCTACCATTAAAATTGTAGACTTATCATTTCTTTCTCAGTAGGCAAATGTACAAAATCAGCAGGGGATCAAATACTTTCCCCCCTCACTGTATATTGACAATCCTCTTAATGAGCAGGAATGTTCTTCTATACAGATATTACTTACTGAATTATCCTAACTGGGACCAGAATTTCCATCATTAATGATGTGATTAGCAGGCACACATAACGTGACTGCATCACTTAGCAACGGCAGTTTCAGTTGTTCTGAAGTTCCTGTGCCAGCAAGAGGAATTCAGATTCTGGCATGAAGTTAGGTTGCAGTCATTAGGCAGGACTGCACTGTCATTAGATGAGGACCTCATGCGTCTCCTGTTCTGCTATGCTCATGTCTGTTTCAACTCCCCCCACCCGCCTATTTCCACCCCCATGTCTGCCCTTTCAGCCATCTTGAACTCTACCATTTATATTGTCCTGCACTCTGCTGACCCCGTATGTCTGAACCCCACCATACATTCTGCTTCTCCTGTCACTCCTGGCTGAATCTTTACCATCTTATTCCTCCCATAGGTGATGAGGCACATCTCTCCTGGACCTTTGTACCTTGTGAAGGATCACACCAGGTATCAAAGCAGAAGAAAGACAATTGCAAATGTCGGCTGGGGACGATGGGGGTGACAGGGAGGTTGACATGTTGGCGGGACAGCAGGGTCAGTGGAATGCAGTGCACCAAAAAGGGCAGAGATGGGGGGAGGAGGGGGAAGTGAGAGGAGTTGAAGTGCACTCTGCAGTCATAAATGTGGGTGAGCTGCCAACACTCAAATTTTGATCATGTAATTTCAAAGTCACTGCAACTGCCATAACTTTAGGGATTGGCTGTAAATTCCTTTTGTTCAGTGCCAACATAACTTCGAAGAGTTGCTAAACAAATAGTCATTAAGAAAGGACTACATGTTTAAACATTCTCTAAAGACCACAAGCAAATATATTACTTTAACAGCTCATTCCTCAACTTCTGGTCATAGGTCTCCTCAATGTTCTTCACATTAATCTCCCGCCGATGAAGTGAATCTTCAACAGTTTTATTCTTTGATTCTTGAAGCTTTTGAGCTCTAGGAAAACAGAAGAAAATGTCTGGTAAGCTTCAGAAATGAGTCAATACAACGTTAATGTCAGGTCTGCCTCCGTTCAAATCCTAAGAAAGAAAACCCCAACTCCATGGATTTAAAGAAGAAGTACTTTTATTAAGAATGAACTGATAGCAGCAAAAGCAAGGCAAGATCTGAATAAAAACCGCATGAACATTACACATTGAATGCTTCCCCACAGCCCTCCCCCCCCCAAGGTCCAGCCCAAGCAGGCCAATCAATGTCCAATATGATGTTATGAGAAACCCTCTTCAGCAGATGATGTGTGCTGTGGAGGCCCAGGATGGTTGGCCTTGGTAAAGTCTAAACATCTCCACTCCGTTGAAGGGGAACAATCCTCCCAATTCTCACAGGAACACTTTACACCAGCTCGCTTCCCCACCCCAAATACCAGATGCCCTCTCCCCCGTTACTATGGCAACCGAGGGCAAGCAAAAGGCAAACTGCAAACTGGAAATTCGGCTGACAATTAGAAGGCATAGTTCTAACTTCCATTTCCAATTCTTTCATTGCTGTTTGGGAAAACAATATCATTACCCTTCTCATATCAAAAAATTCCCCCATAAAGAATAAGTAAATATTTTCTTAAAGAAACATTTATGATATTTATTAAGACTTATCAAGCAAATTCCTGCCTTTAAACCAAAAGTCAATTTGGGCAATAACCCAATGACAAATGGTATGATTTATTGCTTCAAGCAGCTTGCCCACATTCACAGGTATCAAAAATTGAATATGATTTATAACATGTTTACTATCCCAGATATTAAACTAAGACAACAATCCAACTTAGAATTGGCAATGAAGATACTGAAGCGGTGAATAACTTTTCCCTTTTAGGAACAACCATCAACAGTAGATGGAACAAGCAGTCAAGAAATATCGCCATAAACTAACATTCGGTAGAGCTACCATGAAAGGTATTGGAAAAGATATTTAAATGCAAGTGATACGACTATACCTATGAAGGTCAAATTTGTGCAAGCCATATTCTGCTGCAGAGGTCCCCAACCCCCGGTCCATGGACTGGTACCAGGCCGTGGCATGCCAGCAACTGGTCCCCACAAACAAGCAAAGCCCCATCCATGGAATGCAGGCAGCACACAAAACCACACACTCTCTGGTCCGTGGAAAAACCTTTCTCCACAGAACTGGTCCCTGGTGCGCAAAAGGTTGGGGACCTCTGCTCTACTGAAGCAAAAGTTGGACTTCAAAGCTGCATAGAAAAATTATATTCCTCAACTTATGAGATCACTCAGAACCAGAATTTTCATTACTAAGGGATATACAATCATAATGTGTGACTGCATTGTTTAGGAATGGCAATCTCTGCAGTCCTGGTTGACATTGTTAACCATGACATTCTTCAAAGCATAAATACCTTGTTTCCCCGAAAATAAGTCTTATTTTTTTGGGGGGGGTCTTTTCCACTCACCTCCGGCACCAATAGCCTTGCCCAGCCAGCCCATTTCTGTGGCCGAAGGAGCAGCTTCATTCTGCAGCTGGCAATGGAGCTCCAGCCTGTATTTTGCAGTTAGGCCTTTCTGGAAGGCCATTGCAGCTGTGTCCTTAGCTTGGTTCTCGGCTGCAGAGGCCTTCCAGAAAGGCCTGTGACTGAGAAATGCAGGCCTGGGCACGTGGCAGAAGAAATGGGTCAGCGGGGAGAGACCTGACTGCAAGGTAAGTGGGTACGGGGCACATAGGGCATCTCCACCCCCCACCCTTGCCCTAGTTTGATTTTTAGGTGTGTGCCATGCCCCAAAACTAGGGCTTATTTTTGGAATAGGGCTTATATTAGGCGCACCCCCAAAAATCAAGCTAGGGCTTATTTTCGGGGTAGGTCTTACTTTCGAAGAAACACGGTATATGAATGCAAAATAACATTGAATGAATTGCTGTTGGAATCTGTATGACTGAATACTTCATGAAAACCATGTTTCTAATGTATGACTCAATAGATAAAATAGCAGGAACATACAGTATGTTTATGACTGTATGTTGAATGTCTCCTAAAGATGTAACACAATATTTATAGAAATTTTATCTGTTTACCCTTTCAACTTAAAAAAAATCCTTTGAATAACAATAAGAAGGCTAAACATGCTAGATCCAAGCCTTTCTAAAAGCATTTGGGGAAATTACAGAGAGTTAATTGTTCCCCTAACATGTCCTGGGATAACTGAAATTTATGGAATATTTAACACTGTTTAAATAGTTTTTGTTGTTGTTCAATGATTAAGTCCTGTCCGACTCTTCCCAACCCATGGACCATAGCACACTATCCCTCGTGCTGGAGTTTGCCCAAATTCATGTTCATTATGTTAATGATATTATTGTTTCAATAGTACTTATTATTTATATTTTCTATAAAAGCAGTAGTTCAGTCAGAGAATAATTAGAGAGCAAATGCCCAATTTTCTATACATGTTTTTAGTATTTGATAGAAAATCAAAGACTAGAAAACCATTTCTACATTTCTGTCTATTGAGATGAAGCAATCAATCAAAAATCTAACATTGCATACAGAAAAAGAAATCCAGTTACAGATAGAAACATGTATACTAGGTGACTGAACAGATACAAAAACATTAATTTGCACAAAAGGTGGGACAGAAGAATCAATAATCAGAATATAGGCTTAGTCTGAGGAAGAACCATTTAAGCAATCTCATTTTCTGTATCAAAAATATGATCAGCAGTTTCTGATTATTCTTTTCATGGACTTCTGAAATGGAAAGGTTGGTTATATTAAAAATTTCTATTCTTTCACACATTAATTGATTTCTTGATTTTCTGCATTTCCAAATATAGACCAACTTCTTTCACATTTTCTCCATTTTATGCACAGCTTAAAATGTGGATTTAAACATGTTAAATACATACAGGTAGTCCTCGAGTTAGAATGTAATGGAGCCTACCCATTCCATTTGTAACTCGAGGATTCATAGGAGTGAACCTCATACCTTGAACGCGACACTCCCTGCTTTTGCCTACGCATTCGCTAATTTAATGCGTGGGCAAATGTGCAGCTCGTTAAGTAAACATGAGGTATCTCAGGGTGGGGAAGGACATGGGGGGGTGCTAGTGATGGAACAGTCCATTTGCTTCAGTCCACCCAAGGCCTCCCCTGACCCACTAAAATACCTCATTCTCCCTCCCCTTGGGTCCCCACAATTGCTCCCCCCCCCATCCTGCTGCACCGGGTCACTTACCTTGTGAAGATCTGTCTCCTCTCCAGCCTCTCTGTTTCTTTGTCTACTCCCAGTGAGAGCAGAGAGAGAGCAGGACAAGCGTGCCCTGCTTGGCTTCTCTGACTCACCGGGCTGACAGCCACTTCTGGAATAGCAGGCAGTCTTGGTGATTCTCCTCCAAAGGCTTCAGGATCGACTTGGAAAAGCATTTGCACGCCGAAGGAAGGTTTGGGGCAACCTTGTTGACGTGCAAACACTTTTCGCATAGAACCTGGACGCCCTGATCTCGTGGGAAGTCAGGCACTCATTCTCTGCAAAAGCGGATGGGTGACTGAGCACAAGATTATGGCCCCCAGAAGCTTTTCGGCCTTTGGTCGAAAAGTATTTATCCTGGAGGAGGTCTCTACCACCTAGAACAAACTTCCAGAGCCACGCAGCCACTGCCAACCTCCGTTCTGGGTGGCAGAGGCCTGGAGGAAGCATCTGATGCCCAGAACGGACCTCTGGAGCCATGTGTCCACTGCCCCTGGCCTCCTTTCTGAGCGGCAAAGGCCTCCTCAGGCCTCTGCTGCCCAGAATGGAGGTCGGGGCTGGCCGTGTGGCTCCGGAGGCCCGTTCTGAGTGTCAGAGGCCTCCTCCAGGCCTCTGTTGCCCAGAACGGAGGGCAGGAGGGCAGCTGCACGGCTCCAGAGGCCTGTTCTAGGTGTCAGAGGCCTCCTCCCAGCCTCTGCCGCCCAGAATGGAGGTCGGGGGTGGTGGCTGCATAGCTCTGGAACTCCAGTCTGGACATCAGAGGCCTTTCCTAAAGGCCTCTGCCAATGAAATGGAGGCCAGGGACAACACACGCATCAACCTGGGGCTCCATTCTCAGCGGCAGAAGCTTTTTGCAAAGATGGCAAAAGGCTTTGCAAACAGAGGGAAGGATTCAATGTTTCAGACCTTACCTCCATTTGCAAAGCCTTTTGCCACAGTTCTTGCCCAGGCCTCCATTTGCAGAGAACAGAGGTCAAAGTACTGTGAGAACACATGAGGTCTGTAGCATGAGATCTTGCGCCACTGATTTCGCATGATCTTGCGGTACTTTAGGCCTCCATTCTCTGTGAACATGCCGGAAGCCTGAAGCAGTGAGACAGCCAAGAAAACGAAGACTCTCTTGGTTTTCACAAGGTGAATATCCACAGGTCTAGTGCCTAGGGAGATCCGGGGCGGGGGGAGGGAATAGCTAGGGTGAATGTTGCAGTGCCTCTGTGGTCATTCATAAGGATAAATGATTGTCGTGGTGCAGCAACATTCGTAATTTCAGGTCTTTTTTGTAAACACTAGGGTGTGCTTATCACGTAACTTTGAATGTTCGCTAAGGGAATGTTTGTAACTTGGGGATTACCTGTATAACCCAGAAAATAATTCCTATATAAGGGAGGAAGGTATATACAGTAGAACACAACGGTTCCTCAGCAGACTTTCCAGGATCTTTTGATTGTTTCTTAATGAAATGAATCATAATTTTTTGTCTATAAGGTATGATATTAAAAAATTAAGATAGGAATGGCTTCACAAAAGAAGTATTCTCATTAATTGTTTTTAGAAACTCACATTTCAAAAGCTTCTATTCTCTTCTTCAGTTCTTCCTCTCGGCTTCTTACTGTTTCAATATCTTTTAGTAAGGTTTGTCTTTGCAAGTAAATTTCCTTTGCATCAATCTGTTAGGAAAAACAGTTTGGGTGATATATCTGTCAAAATAACAGTTTGAAAAAAACAGGGTGTGTTTGTAATATTAACTTCCATAAGTTCCTACTTCTTTCACTGGTTTATTGATAAACAAATTACTTGGCACAAGAAGATATGGAAACTGCAGCTTAGGTGAAATAACAAGTATGAGGACAGATGAATATGAAGTAATGAACTCCAAACCACATAACCCCCCCCCCAAAAAAAAACCTCTTTGTCACCAGGGACAAGCAAAACATTTTAAGCTTAAAACAGATGTTTCAAATAATTTGAAACATGTTTCATAATGTCATGTACAAAGTAAAGTTGTTTTGCGATTCTCTCTAAATGGGCTAGACTTAGGCTTAAACAGGTGATCTGGGGAGGGAGATCTAGCAGGCATTTTAAGGAACACTACTATCGTCATTATAAAACATTAATTCTAGAAAAGATTATTCTCCAATGATGCTGTGATGCTGAATGACTGTCCAGAAAATAAGCCACTCCTATTGTAACTAGAAAGAGCAGGAGACAGAAGACAATTCTGTAATTTCTTTATCTGCATCTCTTTCAATCAGCCAATCAGGACAAAGGAAGGATATAGTCCTGTTTCAGTTCAAGGAAGCATGGGAAAAAGATGAAACAAATGTTTGCACCCACACCAATTTGCCAAATACTGATAGGCTAGCTTTTCATCTTATGCTCTATCTATTCTTTTGATCCTGTGGTGAAATTGGACCAAAAGGCTTGTTCTGTATTCTCATTTCAAAAGCATTTCAAAGTTTTCAAGCCATAGAACCGGTAAGCTTAAAAAAATATATATCCAAGAAACTTTGATCATGAGGTAAACTTGGCTGTGTTTAAGTGAAATTGGCTGTTTTTTTCCCTTTTTTTGTTTAGTATTTCACAAAAGCTATCAAATTCTCAACACACCCTAAGTTCTATGGAATACTAATTGAAAAATTCATCCTAAATATTTGAAATATTTCATTTCAATAAAGCACAAAATACTTCAAGCATTTTAAGTTTTATTCTGTTATAATGCAGTCAGTGCAAAGCCTCTTGATGGAACACTCCAGAATGGATGTTTTCTTGCAAGCCCAAAACAAAATACATTTCCCATTTCTTTGACAACTCTATTTATCAAAATATAAGCCATTAGCTGAATAAATCAATATATCTTCATTTTTCCCAGTACAAACTGAACATCAGTAGCATCCCACATAATAAACCATAATGTGACATGTCACCCCATTGAAATCGTCTTAAAAATCCCATTTTTAATATGAGTATTTAATTCACTAC